GAGCAGGTCCAGAACTCACACCCTGGTCTGTTACGTCTCGTGGGGCCCTGGTCTGGGGCAGGGTGGTGGAGCAGAGAGAGTTTGGGTCTGAGAACTGGTGACCTGGTCTTGAACCTTGGACCTGCCGTTTATAAGTTGTGGGACCTTGGGCAGACCATTCAGCCCTGATGCCCTCATGAGGACAATCCTGCCTCCTTCATGCATCCCATGGTTCACCAACCTTTCAGCCGCTGTTTAAGAGAGAACTTGAAATAGGGCAGGCAGCCCAATATCACCACGTGAGGCACGCTCACAAGCCATCCCTCAGGTCCACAGCGTATCACTTTTTTAAAATTTATTTTTATTAGCTGGAGGCTAATTACTTTACAGTATTGTAGTGGTTTTTGTCATACATTGACATGAATCAGCCATGGATTTACATGTATTCCCCATCCCGATTTTTCCTGGCTGCTTCAGGACCTGCCTAAGGTCCCTGCTTTCCTCCCAAGGGAAGGTGCTCAACAAAGGAGTTTCTCAGACCACTTGGGCCTCTAGCATCAAGGTTGTGAGCTTAGGACTGGCCACATAATTATGGGACCTTGTGTTCAAAAGTACTTAGAATTTCAAGGTAGCAACGCATCAAACCAAGCACAGGGCCCTTCTGAACACAGGTGCTGGGTGACTGCTTGGGTCACAGGCCCAAGGAACGGGCCCAGGGGGAGCTCTGTCCCAGAGGTGTGGGGATACATCTCATCCAGTTCAACAAACCATGACCAAACACAAGCCTCAGTCCAACTAGCTTCAGTTAAAAGGAGGTGTTTACAGTAAATGATATTTAACAATTGTAGTCACGTAAGTGCTATTTCAAGGCTTTTACTCTTTTGAGTCGGCCTGTGGAGAAAGCAATAAAGACTTGATTGTGGAGCAGGAAAGGATGTGAATGTCAATAACAGGAACAATGTGAAAAACTTTACCAAGGTGGGGTGTGGACCGGCAGAGGAGATGGTGGGGCATTGTTGCCCAAGGTCCCACTGATTATGAACGGCAGGTCCTAGATTCAAGTCCAGATCACCGTTCTCAGACCTAAACCCTCTCTGCTCCATCACCCTGCCTCCACACCAGGGCCACACGTGACACAACAGACCTGGGTGTGAGTTCTAGACCTGCTCCCAGTCTGCTGCGTGTCCTTTCAGCAGGGACTTGGCCCCTCTGTCCACCTTCTTTGGAAGGTGCCTAAACAGGTTAGTCCCAACTTAGCTTAAAACCAAAATGCACTCTTTAATTTCATCATCTGGCCTGTAAAAGAATACCAGAAAATTATGCAAATGCCTAAAATAACCTAATTGTACCAAAATTGTCAACATACATCTGCCTTAGAATAGAAGCTCCCTGAAGGCAGGCAAAGCATTTTTCACTTTGCATCTCTCCCTGGTTCCTGTGACATGCGAGACGCTGACCAGGGATCAAACCCATGCCCTCTGCAGTGGAACCATAGCATCCTAGCCACTGGATCACCAGTGAATTCCCTCTGTCATTTTATGTAGGTAAAATAAAAAGATGAAACTTTTCTTCCCTGTGACTCTTATGATCTACTTTTTTAAAAAAAACTGAAGTACAGCTGACTTACAGTATTGTGTTAAGGATCTCTCTCGTGTGCTCAGTCGTGCCCAACTCTGTGACCGTGTGGACTGTAGCCCACCAGGCTCCTCTATGGGATTTCCTGGGCAAGAATACTGGAGCAGCACCTTCTGTGATGGCCCACACTCCATCTGTGAGGTGTGTTTCTCTCTGAATAAATCCACTTCTTACCTATCAAAACAAAAATACTGGAGTGGATTGCTATTTCCTACTCCACGGGATTTTCTCAACCCAGGGATTGAATCCACGTCTCTGGCGTCTCCTGCATTGAGAGGTGGATTCTTTACCACTGCGCCACCTGGGAAGCCCATCTCCTAACTTTCAAAAATACCATAGAGTGGTGTTAGCTATAACCGTCATGTTGTACAGTACATCCTTAGATATTTGTCTTATAACTGAAAGTTTGTACTTTTAACTGACCTCCTCCATTGCCCCCTCCCCTTGCACAGATAACAAATCTTTTTTTTCTATGCATTTGGCCTTCTGTTTGTTGTTTTAGGTTGCACACACACATATATATGTGATTGTAGTATTTGTCTGACCGATTTTACCTGGCATATTGCCCTCAAGGTCTATTCATGTTGTCACAAATGGCGGTATTTCCTTCTTTTTATGACTAATATTCCATTGCATGCATGTATAATTGTGTGTGGGCATACCAGTGTCTTTATCCATTCATCTGTCAATTGTTGGCATGTCTTGGCTGTTGCAAATAATACTGCTATGAACATGGGGGTAGATATTCCTTTGACATAGTGTTTTCATTTGCTTTAGGTATATTCCCAGAAGTGTAATTGCTGGATCAAATATGATAGTTCTACATATAGTAGTTCTATCTTTAATTTTTTGAGGAGTCCCATGCTGTCTTCCATACTGGCCACACCAATTTACATTCCCACTGACAGTGCATAAGGGTTCCCCCTTCTCCACTTATCAGCCTTTGGATGACTGTCATTGTAACAGGTGTGAGGTGATGTCTCACTGTGGTTTTTTCATTCCCCTCATTAGTGATGTTGAGCATCTTTTCATGTACCTGTTGGCCACTTCTTTGAAAAGTGTTTATTCAGGTCCTGTGGTAATTATAGCATCATCATTATTACTTTGCTATGGACTTGTAATTCTTGATATATTTTGAATATTAACCCCTTTCAGATATATGGTTTGCAAATATTTTTTCCTATTTCATAGGTTGTCTTTTCATTTTTTCTTTTGTTGTGTAGAAGCATTTTAGTCTGATATACTCCCACTTGGTTTTGATGCTTGTGTTTTAGGTGTCGTATCTAAAAAAATCACTGCCAAGACCCATGTCAAGGAGCTTTTCCCCTATGTTTTCTTCTAAGAGTTTTATGGTTTCCAGTTTTGCATTTAAGTGTGTGATTCACTGAGTTGATTTTTGTGAAAACTGTGATCCATAATGGACATTTCTAATAAAGGGTTTTGGAAACTGAGTATATGAGCAGATGAAGGGATGAGTGAGGCCCTAGGAAGGACACTGTGAAAACGGATCAGTTTGCCAAGACACTCCTGCAGAACACACCCCAGTGGGTTCAGATGTCAGCCAAGGACAGAGGGCAAAACGTGAAGCCAGGCCTGGGGGCTAGGGGGCAGTGGGCCAACTCCGTTTATTCATTCAGTGGGTGTCTGTTAATCACCTACCTTGTGCAGGCAGCAGGCACCTGGGATGCATCAGCAGCAAACATGAATCCCCCGCCCTTGGGGAGCTCATATCTAGGGCCAGTGTAATGTGTGGAGAGCAGCAGTGACCCCTGGGGGAACCTGGCCTGTGTGTCCCCAAGCCTGCATCTTCCTAGGAATGTGTTTATAATAATATTAATTGCAATAATGGCAGTGATCCTTTATAAAGAACGTATAGTCAAGACCATTTCAGTTTTTTAAAATTATTTTTGGCTGCCCTGGGTCTCTAATGAGGTGCAGGAGCTCTTTGTCGCTGGCCTCAGGCTTTTTCTAGTTGCAGGCTCTTCACTGTTGCATGCAAACAAGCTTCTTGTTGCAGTGGATTCTTTTGTTGAGGAGCACGGGCTCCAGAGGGTGGGCTTAGTTACCTGTGGCATGTGGGATCTTTCCAGACCAAGGATCGAACCCATGTCCCCTAAGTTGGCAGGTGTAGTCTTCACCACTGTCCCACAAGGTAAGACCCAAGACCATTTCAGTTTTAAGTAACAGAAATGCAACTTGAACTGGCCTAGGCAACTGAAATGGAAAAATTTTGCATATGTATTAATTTCTAAAAATACCAGGGGTTCCCTAGCTACTGGCGTGGTGGATCGGGAGCTCCAAGGCCATCACCAGAGTCTGTGTCCTGCTCCATCTCTTGTCTTTGCTATCTTCTGACGTCACTGCACTGACGTTTATTCTCACATGTCCAAACAGTAAAAAATGGCCTTGGGTACCTCCAGGCTAAGGATCTCAGCAAAGAGCAAACACCTCTTTCCTTGTTCCAGAAACTTCAGGGAACTGTGGAGGGGACTGGTCTGACTTGGGTCTCATGCCCAGGCCTGATCCAATCCTGTGGTCAATACTGAGATGTGTGTATTGGCCTGGATCTGGCAGTAGGGGTGGGACAGCCCTATTTACCCAATAGGGACAGAAGGAGGGGTGCTTCTCAAAAGAAAGCAGGACCTCTGTTGGACACGTGGTCTCCACAATGCCCTCCCCCTACTCTGCTTTAGGCACAAACCTAGTGTCCATCAGGCATCTCCACAGTTCAGGGGGTGAGACCATTCTTATCCCCCTTGTACAGACGGGGAAGGTGGCTCAGAGAGGCTGAGTACCTTGCCAGCATCACATACCCAGCAAGTGATGGATAAGGAGCATGGACTGTTTTGTACTGAACAGAGGTTAGTGGGGGAGGCCACAGTCTCTGACCTACAGCATGGAGTCAGGATTTGACTGATTAGACCCAGGGAATGGAAGGGGAGAGATGAAGGGGACACCTTTATTGCTGGCATCTCTGATGGTGAATTTGACACCATTCATATTTCCTCTTCAGTCCCCAACTGCATGGCCAAGACCCGTCGTGTATCTGTCCTCTTGTTCAGCATTCAGAGGCCGTGCAGTGCAGGCACAGAAGTCAGACTGCCGAGTTCCCTAGAAAGTGGGCCCTCTGGCAAGGGATTAAGGGCTGATACATTAACTTGGAAGTGGAATTCCAGGGCAGCTAGAGGGAGGGATAAGAGAAAGGAGGTCGGGAAGAACAGGAAACAAAGCAAGGTGATGTGTAACCACTGTACAACAAACCCCATCTGGAAAATGTGCCTCAAATGGTCCAAGGGATGGAGGATGAAGGAATTTATCCTCCCGTCTCATCTGCTGTTTCCAAACTCAGTCCAGCTGCTTGCAAATCAACACCCAAGAAGCAGTTGTTTATAGAAAGTTCCTTTTAATCAGAATGCCGGCAGTCTGGGGAGATGGTGCACTCGGGTGTTCCGCCAAAACCACCTCTGAAGAGTCTGCTTGGCCATGGAAGTTTCTAAGGGGAAAAAGGGAAGTCAGCTCAGATAATCACTGATGGAGGGGGTCAGAGGTGTCATGATCACCAGCTGTGTGCAGGCTTGTCGACTTCTTGTGATCTTTCATGTTAGATGCTATCTTGTTCCCACCATTTGTTCGTGAGATTACTGAAGGGGAAGCTGGGGAAGAGATCTGGTCACCTGGTAATTACTTATTCTTCTTTTCTACTTCTTTGATCTGTGGGAAGAACCAGCAGGTTAGGCAAGGTATTGTGTGATCTAAAGATCTGAAAGGTATGCTAGGTTACTGACAACAGGGCCTCCTGCAGAGAGTTCTTTCCTGCCGAAGGTGCTTACGCTACCGCTGAAAGTTCATCCCAAGAACTAACTCCTCCACGTGTATGGCTTGACTTCTCCAGCCTCTTTGGCCATTCTGGATCCAGCCCCCTTACCCTGGCCTGTGGTCTGGGAGGGGTCAACTTCAGCTGTGGGACAAGAAGCCAGGAATCTGGTGGACAGAGGAGCTCCAGAGGTACCCAGGTATGCAGTACACCCACATCCCAGTAAAGTGGGGATAACAGTACCTCCCCGAGGGTTGCTGAGAAGACTTGATACAATGCCTGTAAAGCACTTACTAGTGTCTGGCTCCCAGGAGGTGAGCTGGACTGACCATTAGTTGGTTTTGCCTGGAGGTTCTGGGGCGGAGCTTCACTGAAGGGTGCGGTGATTGAGCTGTATCAGGCAGAACTCTCTTCTGTGGTGAGTTGGCTCAAACGAAGGGAAGGCTGTATTGAACCACAAAACTGCAGGGCCCAGAGGTGCATCCAGCTTCAGCACAGTTGGACCAGGAGTGACTCTGAGTCCCAGGAGAAATGACCCAGGTTGATCCATAATATGAGCATCGAGGAAATGCTCTCCTCAACCTCCAGGGACCTGAACCAAGAGAAGATTGAATGAATCTCTAGGACAAAGGCAGGTCAGTGGTTGTTTGGGGTCAGGAGGACTGACCATAAAGGGGAATAAGGAACTTGAAATGCTCTACAACTCGATTGCAGTAGTAGTTACAAGGGTGTATGCATTTGAAAAAACTCATGAATTGAACATTTAAAATGGGTGCATGTAAAGTATACCTTAAAATGGATTTTTTTTAAATGAGATCAAAGGAAAATATAGCTTTCTTAGGACTCTATGACAGAAACCCAACTCAGGATAGTTTTAGAAAAAATGAAATGCATTCATTAGCTCATATAATCAGATTAGTCCAGAGATGTGGTCAGTTTCAGGCATGGCTGGGTCCAGGGGCTTACTGATATCTGGACAGCATACTTTTTCCACCTCTTGGTTGGCTTCATCCTCAAGTGGAGAACAGGAGTGGTCACCAGAAGTTCCATCAACCTGGCAACTCCCATGAAAAGTGAGTGCCTCTTTCCCCGTGGCTGCTGCAGAAATCCCAAGGGGGGCATCTCAGCGTCCAGCTGGGACACATGCCAGCCTCTAAAGCCAGGGGATGGGGCTGGCCCCATGCAAACCTCAGGGGTGGGGAGGAGTAACCCCCAGAGGAAAACATGAAAGGGCAGAGGACCTTGGGTCAAGGAAACCAACAGATGGTCCTCACCTCTCTCCATGTACCCAGAAGGCAGTGTTATCACCCATTCCTACTTCCAGACACCTCCACTCCACAGGGGCCAGGCCATCAGGGATGGGCCCCAGACTCATTCAAGACCCAAGGCTGCTTTCCTGCCATCTCACAGGCTGTATGTGTTAGCTAAATATAAGAGTCAAAACAGAAAGTGAGCAGTAATCTCTTCCCCACCAGCCAAGGCAAACAGAGGGCTGTTCCTGACTGTGCTGGGCCGTCCATCTGCACCCCAAGGAGGCTGGTGGGGAGGGAGGAGCTCTGGCCCAGAGGGAGGCCATGAGGCTGAAGGCATCCGGACCTGTAGGATGAACCCCAATGAGGGGGAGGATGCCTCCCTGGGCCTCAAGGGCCAGATGAGAGGAGCAAAGGGACAAGGAGGGCAGCTACTTGGTCCAGAACCACCATCCTAACAGGGTCTGGCCAAGGGCAGGAGGGCCAGAGAGGAGACTGCAGGAAAGGTCATCTTTGTAGAGATCACAAACAGAAGAGACCATGCAATGCCTGAAGACCTACACTTGCTTTCTGAGCAGCACAGCTGGCGTGAAATGAACATGCTGTCCACACGGATACCTCCAGGCCAGAATACTGGACTGGGTAGCCGTTCCCTTCTCCAGGGGATCTTCCCAACCCAGGGATTGCACCCGGGTCTCCTGCAATGCAGGCGGATTCTTTACCAACTGAGCTACTAGGGAAGCCAGCTTTACCCAAGCCTCAGGCTAAATGATTGCCCCTAATACAAACACCCACCAACTCCAGGAGCTCCAAGTTCTGTCTTTAGCATGGCTACTTGAGGCTTCCAGTTGAGCTGAGGTTACTTCTGACCCAAGTAAGCAAGGTTGCTTAGGGCCACCCCCCCGCCCCAAGATCCCTAAGAGATATGGGCAAGAGAAGACCAAGCTGAAGGGCCCCCCTTCCCCTTCTCCCACCATGCTGCTGGCTGAGCCGGCCCGCATAACCATGCTGTCTTCTGGGAAGCAGGTTAAATGGATGTCGTTGCCGCCAAGAGCATGTACTTGGCAGCAGAGTTGGTGGGGAGCAGAGCTGGAGCCAGACGGAGGAGAGAGCCCAGACCCAGCAAGGGAAGGCGTGGCCCAGGCCCAGGTCCTGCCCACCAGGGCAAGCCTGGGGGCCAGGCCCAGAGCTGCTGGGCCTTGTGGGGGGCGTGCTTAGCCCCCAGCTCCCATCTCTGCTGTTATGGTCCTGCAGACCGGCCCAGGAACAGAGACACTTCCTGGAGCTGACAGCGCGCCTGCCTGCTACTTCCCTGCACTGGCAGCTTGCCCAGGCGGCTCTCAGGCCAGGCTCCGGGAGTCCAGCTCTGCAGGAACAAGGGAGGGGCAGGGAGGTGCCCCCAGCAGGCGTCCTGACCCTGAGGGCTGCCAGCTCAGAGCAAGGCCCCGATGAGCAAGCCCCACACAGGCTGGGTGTCAGCCCGCCAGCAAAGAGCAGGGGCCAGTGGGCCTCCGCTACCCCCCAGCTGTGCGACCTGGGCCACGCCTTTTGTGAGTTTTGCAAATAGGGTTAAACCGTGCCCTGCTCAGAACTGGGATCCTCGGCAGCATGCAGCCTGGTGGGGGCAGACTGTGGATCTAAGCTGGCCACGTACATACTCAGCATTTGGGGGATTAGGGGCCGACCACCCAGCCTCTCCGGGGGGCAGACACCTCCTCGGTGAGACAGTGGCATTTACCCACCCACCTCAGGAGGTTGTGATGACCACATCTGGTTCTAACTACATATGCTTACTATAAATAGCAATTCTAGAAAGAGCACTGGCCTTGGAGTCAGAAACTGCATGTCTATACCCCAGCTTGGCCGCATCCTTGTTGTGTGTCCTCTGGGGAGTCTCCCGAGCCTCCGTCCTCCATCTGTAAAGTGAGGATCAAAAGTGACAGTGAGCAGCAGAGAACATCCTGGAAGTGAAAGGCTGTCAGCAGCACACGGCCCCGTCTCCTCCGTCAGGTCCTGAAGGAAGGGCTGGAGGAAATCGCTAACTTGTGAGTGTGGATCTGGCTAGTAGTTCCCTGGCCACTTCATAGAATCACCTGAGGAACAGAAGGAAAACAAAGATCCCAGGGCCTGGGTCCCTCCCAACACCCAGCAATTCAGATCCAACTGGTCTTGGCATGGGAGGTGGCACTGACATTTTTTAAACGTTAAGTGATTCTTCTGGGTGACCAGAGTCGGGAAGTGGTGCAGCAGCTTTACTTAGAACTCAACTGGGACACAGCCCACATTTTTGCTTGTTGTTGTTGTTGTTTGGCTCTGGCTTGCAGGATCTTAATTCCCTAACCAGCGATCAAACCTGTGCCCCCTTAGAGGAAGCACAGAGTCCTCACCACTGGATGGGCCAGGAAAGTCCCAGAGCTCACGTTTCTCGCACCCTCCCCAGTCTCTGTTGAGAGAGAGAAACCCCGTGCTGCCCCAGTACCCTCCAATGAACTTCCTGGCCGGAGGCGAACTTCCGTCCCCGGCCCACTTGGCAGAAAGAAAATCAGAGACTTTCAGCCTCCTGATGGGCCCAAGGCCATCACGCAAATGAGTTACAAGCCCTCCCCCTTCCGGAAGCCCCACTCCTGCTAACTGGGTGAAGGGTGTACAGGTGGCGCTAGTGGTAAAGAACCCACCTGCCAACGCAGGAGACCTTAGAGATGTGAGTTCAATGCCTGGGTCAAGAAGATCCCCTGGAGGAGGAAATGGCAACCCACTCCAGTATTCTTGCCCGGAGAATCCCATAGACAAGAGGGGCTTGGTGGGCTATGGTCCATAAGGTCACAAAGAGTCAGAGTCACTACTGAAGCAACTTTGCACGCGTGCTCGTACATGCAAAGAGGAAAAAAAACCCTGGAAGAATCTATACCCAACATGATCTCTAGGTATGGGCACCTATAAGCCTCTCTCATCCTTCTGCATTTTTGAAATGTTCTACACTTGGAAAGCAGTTCTTATATGATTGAGGGAAAACCAGTAATGTTTTACTTCGTATGTATTGTCTTTTTTAAAAATTGATTTTTTTTTTCAGATGTTCTGAGATAAAGAATGAGAAAAACACTCTGGAGCGGGAGGGAGGATGGGATGTGTTCTGTGGCCCCGTGTCCACCTACAATGTGAGAACTGCATTTGAGAGCCTCGCCCACCTCTAGAAAAGAAGAAATAAACATCACCACCACTGCAACCCCACCCGCCCATGTTAACCTTTACCTTGGAGCCAGCCGTCCCTTCCCCTGGACAGAAGAATGTTGAAGCTCCTTAAAAACTGTCTCTGGGGCTGGGGTGGAGACACAGCTGGGATCACAGGTCCCGAGGAGGAGGGGACAGCTGGGGCTGGCCAGGAGGAAGGCGGGTCCTGGAGGTAAGGGTCCCATGCATGGCCATCTTCTCAGGTGACAGGAGCTTGCCAGTCAGCACCTGGGGAGGGAGCCTGAGCAATACCTTAAGGATGAACTTCCTCTGCTGACCTGGGAGACCAGTGAGACCCCCGGGGGGTACCCTGGGAGCAGGCTCAGCCCTGCTTACTGCCTGGCCACCTCCCCAGCCTCAGCCAGAGTGGACGATTGTGTAGCTGTGGCATTTAGTGACATCCTTGTTGAATGGTGTTCTTGTGTTCAGGAAGACATGTCACTAACTTTTATTTCTGCTTGACCATCCCCCAGGAACCCCAGTTCTACCCAAAACATCCAAAATAACTGGTTGAGGCACCTGCTGGGCAAGGTGGAGACCCAGGAAGTGAGATGGGGTAGAGACCACCTGCCCAAGAGAAAGCAGGCTCTAGGGTCAACAGCTGCAGGGAAGACCTCGGTCCACTGCAGCCAGATTTGCAAAACGGCCAGCTCAGAGGTCTCAAGGTGCACGCTGAAGCTCCTCCTGTTTTAAAACACAGTGCCCCTAAATGGGGCTTCCCAGGTGGTTCAGTGGTAAAGAATCTGCCTGCCAATGTGGGAGACGCAGGCTCAATCCCTGGGTTGGGAAGATGCCCTGGAGAAGGAAATGGCAACCCACTCCAGTATTCCTGCCTGGAAAGCTCCATAGACAGAGGAACCAGGCAGGCTACTGTCCATGGGGTCATCAAGAGTAGGACATGACCTAGCCCTGGGTACACCTGCCCTTGAAGCCCCCCTTCCTTAGGTTGTAATGTGCAGCTGGGTTCTAGGGACCCTTCACTGTGCACAAACCAGGGAGACCTTGCATTCTCCTGGGCTCCCATCTGTGCGCGAGTGTCCCGATGCCCAGCCTACCCCATCCTCCACCAAAAAAGATATTATAAAAGTACATGCCAATCAATGCACCAACCAACAAAACATTAAATCAGCAGCAAATCCCCCTACAGTCTCATTTCAGGACGACGCGGGAGGACACGCCAGCTGAACCCCAGGTAATTCTCCCCATCCCAGAGGGGCCAGGTGGGCAAGGGCTGGGCTGGGGCTGGGCTGGGGCCGCCGCCTGATGCACACTGCAAGAACAATAAGGATTTTTAGGGGCATTATGACTGAGTCAGAAAACACAGCTGCCCCTGAAAGTCCCTCATTTTTCTTGCTGTCCTCGAGCACTCTCCAGGTGAGGAAGGAGTCAGCCCGCTGACCCAGGTGAACCAAGGTAGAAACGGTGACCCCTCCCCGACACTGGCCCACCCCTCCAGCCCACAGGAAGCTCTGTGGCAGGTGGGGTGGCTGCAGGGTCTCCATGGTGGCACAATTCTCAGCCTGGAAGGCGGCTGGCTTCACTGCCCCACACCCCAGGCGGTCCCAGGAGAGACCAGCCCTTGGTCCACCCAGAGCCAACTTGGAACCCAGCGTCTTCTGTCCACAAGGAGCCACAGGCTAGAATCCTGGCAGAACCCCAAGTGGATGAGGGGGTCCCGAGGATTAGGCAAAGCCAGAAGACCCGAGGGAAGGGTCACCTGGCCTCTGTCAGAGCAGCCGAGGCTCAGGTCCCAGCATTAGGGCCCCAGACTAGGAAGACTCCAGCTGGCCACTCCCATAGACCCCAGACCTTTGGCATCCTCAGAATGCCACCGGTCACTGGTAACCCATCCCCTGAAGCTAGGCCATCCCACCCAGGGCTGGGCTCAGCTGGCCGCTGGGAGCCTGCCCTACCCAGCCGGGCACTGCACCCACTCCTCAGGGGCCCCCAGTCACCGGCCCCCCTGTGGGTGCAGCAGGACATGCAGCTTTTCAGAATAAGGCGGACCCTGCTGTAAAGTATGTCCCACAGGAAACAGACTAGGCTCCACTAGCCGCTTACTTGCTGTGTGATGGCGTCTAAGTTGCTTAGATTCTGTGTGCCTCTGCTTGCACATGGGTAAATAGAACGAATGGCCTCTTTTGCAGGGTGATGTGAGGACTGAAGGAAGGAAAGCATACAAAGGTTTGGGCTGGCTCCCAACACAATGTCTTCCCCTATCCAAGCAGCTTCCCCCTTGCCCTCAGACCCTAAGAGCTGGGCCAGGCTCCCTGGGAGTCTCCGAGGACTCAGGTGATGGAGAATTCCTCCCTCTCGGAGGGGCAGGTGGAGATGGGGTGTTGGGGCACAGGCCTCGGTGCTCCGTCAGCTCTAACGCTGCACCGTCTTCCCACACCCCAGGGTCCGGCCTTGTTCAGATGAAGAACACCTGTGCCAAATCCCAGCTGCCTCTCAAAGCTACATTATAGCAGCTGTTACCTCGCTACAACTTTCAGCCCTAACCAAGATCATCATGCATATACTCCACCAGCAAAAGCCAAACTGTCGGGCTTCACTGGTGGCTCAGTGAAAAAGAATCCACCTGCCGAGGACACAGGTTCAATCCCTGATCCAGGAAGATCCCACATGCTGCAGAGCAACTAGCCCATGTGCCCCAACCATCAAGCCTACGCTTTAAAGCCCAGGAACCGCAACTGATGAGCCCACACGCTGCTACTACTGAACCCCCGCCCCCCCAGAGCCCAAGCTCCGTGTCAAGAGAAGCCTCCACGATGAGAAACCCAAGCGCCAGCACTGGAGCAGCCCCACCTGCTGCAACTAGAGAAGAGCCCGCGTGGCAGTGAAGACCCAGCACCACCAAAGATAAATTTTAAACGAAAAAAAAATTTTTTTTAAAGCCAAACAATCTCTACACTCTAGGATCCAAACCTGCATCACTCAGCAACATGACCACATCCGAAGAAGCCCCCGCCTTTGGTCTGCACAGCCTTGGCCTGAGGGGGTCCTGCGGTCTGGGTGCTATGGCCCCCGGTGCAGAAGAACAGATGAGGACGAAGAGGGTCAGCTCACCGCTTAGCAACCAAGAACCTCAGCCAAGCTTCTAAACCCTTCTCCAAGGGTTTGTGCTCCAAGATCAGGGTAATGAGAGACCGCCCTGGTGGTCTGGTGGCTAAGACTCTGTGCTCCTAATGCAGGGGGCCTGGGTTCGATCCCTGGTCAGGGAACTAGATCCTGTGCACTGCAACAAAAGATCTCATGTGCCACACCTAAGACTTGGTGCAGCCAAATAAATACTTAAAAAAAAATCAGTCTAACTACCTATGTCATGGTGTTGCTAAAAGGATTAAATGAGTCAATGCCTATAAAGGCTTAGAGCTGTGCCCAGCATCGAGATTTCCAGAGTCAGCAATCACTACCATGCCTGCTTTGTGCTTCAAGGCTCAGCTCACCTTTCCTAACCCCAGCCCCCCCACGCCCCAGTTAGAGCCCCATCTTCTTTCTCGGTGCTCCTCCTGACTCCACACTCATCACATGGCTTTGCCTATTCCCCCACCCCCGCCCCTCCCAGCACCGACCTGGAACCACCCACATCACAATCCCTTGCACTTATTAACAGTGCTGACTCTGGGGCCCCGGAGGTCCACCACGGGGCCCTGGAGTCTGCACTGCTAACAGTCTCCTGCTGTGGTTCACAGGGTCACGCAAGTCTGAGAAGCACCGCTCTGGGCCCTCTTACCACCACAATACAGGCAGTGCCTGGCCCAGGTGCTCAATAACAAGGTGAGGTTGGGGGACGGGGGTGCCCTGGACAGTGGCCAGAGGACCCTCCACACCGTGCTAGTGTGTGACGGGGACCTCCCTGGGCTTGGCTCTGACATCACCAAACACAGCAGCCCCCAGTCTGGTTCCCCTCAGCCCTCACACTGAGCTGAACTCTCGCTGCTGATTGGGGTGGGGGGGTTGTTGCACCCTTCTGCTGGGGGCTGAAAAGTCATCAAGGCTTCCGAGGGAGCTGCCGAGCACCAGGGCTCCACCCCAAAATTGCCAGCAACTCACAAAACCATGATGGAAGGGAAAGAAAAGGCCAAGCAGAGGTACCAGCCCTTCTTTGCTGGTACCTTGAGAAAGTCCCACCCGGACTAGGGAAGGAGGTGGTGGAGCAGAGGCGGCAGAATGTCCTGGAAGGAGCTGCTGGGCACGGCCAGGGCCCGTGGCAGGGCTGGCTGAGCGGGGTGGGCCTGGAGGGGCTGGGCACAGGGGCGCTCAGCTTAGGGGCGTGGGCTCTGTACGGTGCTGCCCTCCTTCTAGCCACCCAGCCCCCTGCCCCCAGGTCAGCCTGCCGTGGGGGTGAGAGTCAGCCGTCTTGGCTGGATTTGGGCCTCTGCTGAGATGGAAAGTCTTCTTGGACTCGCTGACGCATCCACCCTTGCTGGCCACTCGAGCTGGGATGAACACAGCCAGGAGACCCGAGCTCCTGGGTTTACGTTCACTCATCTCTCTGCCAGAAATTCTCTGGCTGAGAACACCACCTAAACACTCACTCTCACCCCCTCAGATCCCCCCCCCATGCCCCACGAGCGCCAGCCCTGCCTGGCCTGATGCTGATAGCCTCTGTACCCTGAGGTTAGCTCAGTCCCCGAAACACTCATCGGTGGGTGGAGGTGCAAGTGCCCCTTGGCAAGGCTGGACCAGAGCCCAAATGCACATGGTGTTCCACATGAACACCCACTCCCTTGAACCAGGCAGGTCCAGGGAGCGCGACGCGACGCCTCCCTTTCGGCCATGTTTCCAGAGCATGGGAGAGGCAGACACCAGGGGGTGGGCACTGACTATCTCTTTACTGCAGATGGCACTGGGGCAGGGAAACAAACTGACCAGGCCTGTAGACGGCAGGGCTAACAGTTGGGGAACCGTCTAGGCTTAGGGTGTGTTTATCCTCCTCATAGGAATCAGCCAACTGTGGACCCCCAGGCCAGACCCACTACCACATTCACCGTTTTATCAGAACACAGGTACTCGTTCATTTACATGGTGATGGCTCAAGTGGTAAAGAATCCACCTGCAATGCAGGAGACACAGGAGACGTGGGTTCGATCCCTGGGTCGGGAAGATCCCCTGGAGGAGGAAATGGCAACCCACTCTAGTATTCTTGCCTACAAAATCCTGGGGACAGAGGAGCCTGGCGGGCTACGGTCCATGGAGCCGCAAAGAGTCAGACATGACTGAGCACACATACACACAAATATCCCAAGGGGAGGATTCACCATAATGTATCTTACTGTTTTCTTTCTGTTGTTTCTAAACTTCCACTGTTATAAATAATAAGCATAGCGAGTATCTTTTTTTGTAGAAAGCATCTTC